GAAGGTCAAGATTCGCATCCATGGTCCGGTGATCGGTATGCCCCACGGACACTTCTCCACCGACACGACAGGGTCCAAGCGTCTGCAACATCGAATTTGAAACAAGATGGACGACAACCGGCATGCAGGATCGCCGGGAATTGCTGAATTGCGGGCGTGCAAGGGAAGGCGGAACCACGCAAACGCCAGGAACGCGCCAGGCGAACGAAGAGGGGAAGACACCGAGTACTCACCTGCTCGCCGCATGCATACCCAGTCCTCCTCGGTTTGGGAGCCCTAAGGTGTCCATGATAGGGCGCGGATCGGTCGGGTGCGATATCTTGTGCTTACGCGTCGAGCTCGAGCTCGTGCTCGAACGCGGCTCGCTCGAGCTGATCGACGTCCGGCCCTGCCCGCCAGAGTTCGAACGCTTGAACCATTTGTTCGTGAAGGCCGTGAAGCTGTTGGAGGGAGAGGCGGAGCGCGGGGTGCTGAGGAAGCTCGCGGGGGAGGAGGGAGAGGGCGTCGTTGCCTCGGGTGGACTGAGCGTGTTGGAGACACTTCTGCGCGGGGCCATAGCCAGAGCTATGGTCTATGAAGAACGAGCGTAGCGGGTAGCAAAGCTGGCTGAAGTAGTGAGGGATCGTAAGGGCACGATGAGAGGAAGGCGATGAAGCTTGAAGGAGCGTGTCCGGTGGGATCGTCGTCGGCGTTCGGTGTTCTTCGTGTTGGGTATCTTTCTGCAAGTTATGAAGACGTCTCGGTCATCGTAGAAATATTTCAACACGTACCTCGGTGGACGGTGGAAGGTCAGCGATACATCCGCCAGCGACTATGTAGCTGCTACAGATGCCGTATGCCCATATATAGGCCGCCTGCGCGACTAGCCACTTTTCACTCTTCGAGTTCCTCTCGCCAGGTGCTCTTGATTTATTTGCAGGATTTCCGTCGAGGGTGTAGAGTACAAGCTGGTGCAGAGTAAGATATGGAGGAGTACCACAAGAGTGATGTGTAGCAGTTACTCTAGTGCGGATGCGCGGACGGATCGTGGGAACCGCCTTCCTTACCTGAAGGCGATCAGAGAGCCTCGAGTAAGGATGCAGACATATGTACTTACTCGTTCCTCCAACTTCACCCTCTTTCTCAGATTTGACACATAACCACAGCTAACCACAGCCAGATTCCGTGCTGAAAGAGCCCAGCCAGAAGGGTAAACGGACGCGGAGGTATCGCGCTACTGCGGGCGCCTATGGTCAAGGCGGACGTTGTGCCGCGACAGCGTCGACGCGAGGACCTTGTCCTCTTCCACATCCTACTCTGTCTTCCCTTGTTTTCTCGCTTTGTTCTTGTCGCTTTGCTCACGACGACTGACGGCTCCGACGTATATACCAGCTGCGGACAGCCCTGGAATGTCCGCGTTCTCCACCGACTCCGACGATACCTCTGAATCCCAGGACATGACTTCCCTCGCGACTCTCCCGTATGATCTCCTGCTCAACATTGCGCGCCATCTAGAGCTTCGTGATATCTCTGCTATCCAGCTGGTGAGTGTTTCGTGATGTGGCTTGCAATCGCTCCCTTGTACGTCTGCATACGAGTCCCAGAGCTCGGTCCACAATTCTCTTGCACATTCAAAGACTGCCTCCCCTCCCCCTTCGAAAGCGGATCCGTGGCGTACGTCGTACATCGTTATACTACTCAATGGGACTGTGTGGGCCTCCGCTGCGGCGTGACGGTGACCACATCCGGGGCCAGCGACTAGGAACTTTGTCCGCCGGATTGCTCGTCGTACGAAGCCATCGGGCCCTGCGCAGAAGTCACATACAAGTTGCAGTGACGAATGGCGCGCCTGCTCTTGCTCTCGTCTCCCGGCATGACCACCGCCGCCACGTCCCGATGCCTTGCTCGCCGCCATGTCCATACGCTACATGATATCCCAGTTGCGCGACTAAGACTTCACTATCCCCATGAGCTTGCTGCGTCGCGTTGAACACCGGTTGGCTGATCGTGACATGATGGCTGGGAGCGTGGTGGAGGGCAGCCAGTTCGGCCCGTGACTTGAGAGACACCCTGGGTGGTCGACGCGAATGCGCGGCCGGACAGACATCCCAGTCGAATTGACGTTCTGAAGGGGACAAACTTTCCATTCGTCGTCCCGTTTTGCTCGTGCCCGAACTCACTCGATTGTGACAGTCTTGCAAATCTCTGCATGCTTTCGCCACCACACGCCCGGTATATCGTAACCTAGCCTCCGCGCTGCTCAAGCGATGTCGCGCCCTCCCCCTCCACGGATTCCAACGGCTCTCCGACCTCTCCGACGAGCAGCTAGTAGATGCGGTGAACCACGCGACGCGATTAGAGTACGCCTGGCTCACGCGCGGCCCGCGACCGTCGACGTCCTCGCCATACCTCAACACCCCCGACGGCGCCGGCAGCAGCTCGCGGAAGTGGTACAAGGTCATCAGCGCACCGCCGAACGAGGAGGTCGACTGGCTGTCCCCGATCACGTCGAGCTACAGCCTGTGCGCGACGAAGAGCGGGAAGGTGGTCTGCTGGGACGTCCATCGAGATATTTGTCTCGCGGAGTGGGACCCGAAGGAGCGCTGGGAGCTCTGGAAGTGCAGGGTCGAGTTCGACATCCGGACGGTCTTCTTTACCATGGCGAAGATCCTGCAGCGGTCGTGAGTGCGCTGTGTTGCGCGTGAGGTGGAAGTACTGACGCGCAGGCAGGTTCGACGACCGCGTCATGGAGTTCGTCCTCATGAAGCTGGAATTCCCGGATGACGGTGAGCCGCAGTTCTCAGAGCTGGCGCTGTTCAAGACTATCGGCGTCGTCATGAACGTCTTCCTGCTGGACCCGTCGTCACGACTACTGTCCGCGTTTGTTTGGGTGTCCAGCTCGAACACGATCGGCCTGTACGCGCTACTGGACTGGGACAAGGAGGAGTACGTCTTCGTCGACACCGGTATCGAATGTGTGCGTGTCGCGTCTGTTTCTTCTACCAGCTCGTCCTCATCTCACCTCGTGCAGTCGATGTCCTCGAACTGGTCGTGTATCCTCTATGAGGACCAGATCGTGATCCACTCGGAGGAGAGCGACATCGCGCACCAGTACTTTTATCCGATCTCCACCCTACAGGGACACGTACGACCATCATCGACCGCCAGCACGTTCACTCCGAGCATCTCCGAGCGACTCGGCCCTGTCACGACGATGTCCGCGCCTTTCATCTTCCCTCCACACACACGTTCGCCGTCTCCCGCGTCAATAGCAGACCTGGACGTCGACGACGCTCTTAACGACGACGACATCGATGGTCCGGACCCTGCTGAGGGCGAGCCCAACGGTGACATCGAGGACGACGACTCTGGCACAGTTTCGGACTCCAACCCGTTTCCATACCCCCCATGGTACCCGGAGAGCGCGCACTTCGTCCGGCAGTGGTGGCCAACACTTGCGTCCGTGCCAAAGCTCAGCTGCACAGTCGTGCTTCTCGCCGATCACGAGCCGGACACACATCGCACACGCTACGTCCTCGCCCAGCACTACTTCAAGGTGCCCCTCATCGAGCCAGGAGATCTGGTTCATTTTCCTGTGGCCGCAGCGAAAGCCGCCGCCGACATGCACGCGCCTGTCAAAGGCTTTGCTAAGCCCTTGGAGAACGGCGTCGCCTGCAGCACGACTGTCTCGTCGTCGTCGTCGACAACGACATCGTCCGACTACGACGCGTGGACCGGCCTCGCGGCCCGAGAATCCGCCTCGCCCACCCACAGAACGGGCACCATTGAGACCCCGATGATGCGCCTCTGGTACGTCTCGGACCCGTTCGAGGTCGTGTGCGTCCTGGACGGGATGGACGACGACATGGACCCGGACGACGCGCAGGAGCGCCCGCGGCCGCTCATGGCGGTCGACTTTGGGCACGCGGTGTGGGTCGAGTTCACGTACCCGCCCGAGCTGGAGCGCGACGAGAAGCGGCTGCGGTTCGTCACGTTTCCCCCGGTGACGACCGACCGGGAGGAGATGACGTACGGCGGGGGGCGCACGGCGGCGTCGCTCGAGGGCGTCGTGCACACGCTCGACGTCCCGGACGAGCTCGACTTGGACACGGTGGAGACGATCAACATCGACCAGAGCCAGGGCGCGATCATCATCTCGGTGCGGGACGGGAAGATCTTCATACTGTGTTACGAGTGAGAAAAGTAGTAGTATCGTGCTTTATGCATGCAGTTATCATCTGTGGGATGCGGTGGTTGGGGACGTGCTTATACTATGGCAGGATGATGGGCTCTGGATCGGATGCTCCGTATCTCCTCGGACGCTTTCGGTAGAACAGCTACTTAATGTATCGCTCTAGTACGTGTATCATATCAATGCTCCCTGCGCACAAGTGGTCCGGCATGCCAGTAAATCAACCAGAGCTACGCCTGGCTACTGAGTTACACTAGCAATACTTGACCTGGCCACTCGTCCACTACGTGTCGACAGTCATCCCAGTGCACGCGCAGATACAGTTCCTGAAGAAGTATGCAATCTATATATATGCATGTGTCGCAGCAGACGAGACTACAGGTGCAGGTGCAGGTGCAGGTGCAGGATGATTGATAGCAGAAGAGAGATGCTACAGAGCGAATACGACAATAGCATGAGACGTCACCGCGAACGAAACCACAAGAGAACACGGAAAGCGAATATTGACAGCCACCAGATGGGTCCGAAGAAAATGAGGCATGCGCCCAGCGATACACCAGTGATCACCAGAGGACCTCACGACATGCACCAGCCAAAAACTCGATCAGTGAAAGGGATACAAACGTCCCAGGCTCAGCTAAAAAACCCCTGTTTCGAGGAGGCCTGAGCGGCGTCCACCAGGACCAAGGAAGTTTCGCTTAACCTGGATCTTTGCATGCCCCTCGGACGATGCGGCATCCCGTTTACCTGTGGTACTAGGTTGAAGGTCGAATGGGGTTAGGTGAGGGTCGATACCGCCTAGTCAATGCAAGGATCTGAAGGACCTACATCTCTGTTAGTATATCGGTTAGTACACGCGCCTGTCACGGCCACTCGTCCGCTGAACGCGCGAAAGCGGGGTTCGACTCCCCGACAGAGAGTGAGACAATTCCACCGTCTTCTTTTTGTTGGCCAGTCCACAGAGCCCTCCACTTCGCGCCGGAACCGCAAGCTTCAAAGTCCAGCCCTCGACTCAGAATGAAGAACGAATAAAGGGGCAGATAGGATTATGGCGACAGCGTTTATGGTACTAATACTACGGCAGCCTTGACGAAGCACCACTACTAGTGCGCACGTCTGCGTCCGCCAATGACACCGCGCTTCCGAGCACCCGTTGCAAAGTTGACCTCCAACGCCGCCGCATTGAGGTAGCCGTCAATCGTCGACCTCGGAACCGACTTCGAGCCATAATCCCAGCCCGTGAGGTGCTGTATCGCGATGCTGTCCGTCTGCTCGTCGAGCACGACCGCATACGTGACCTGGTCGCCCGTCGGCCGTGCGAAGAAGTTGGTATTCCCAGAGCCGGTCGCGCCCTTGAACGAGTAGATCTCGGAGATGCCGTTGTTCGGGTCGGCGCCGATGAGGGTCTCGAGGATATCGAGCTCGCCGCACCCGCCGGGGCTCCCGATCCCGCGGCAGTTGCAGCCGTACTCCGCGGTGCGCACGACCTGGGCGTTGAGGGCCCAGATGGCGGGCACCTTGGACGCATCCGCGGAGGCGGGCATGTTGAAAGTGACGACGAGCATCTTGGAGTCGGCCCAGCCGTGGTTGGCTGTGCCGCGCGAGAAGCCGTCGCATGCACGGGATGCGCAGGTCTCCGCGGTCATGATGTTCTGCCAGTCGGCGAGAAATCATGCGTCGTCAGTCAATGTCCGTCACTTGGACTGCGGAGGGCCATTGGCAAACGTACGATTTCGTGATCCTGATCGAGGACGCCGTTTGAGATGTCAGCGTTGGCTGTGGCCACTGCGGCCGTGAAGTCGCCGCTAGCGAACGACTGGCTGTTCCCGTGGCAGACTGCGGTAGGCAAGGACATAGCGCAATGGTGAGTAGACGTCCGCGCGAATTTGAATCCAGACGTACTCGAGAACTCGCCGCTAGCGCCGCCACCCAAGTTGTTCATGAAGACGAGGTTGTTCGGGGCCTGGCCGGCAGCCCACGAACTCGTCTGCGTCCATGTCGCGCCGCTGCTGTCAGGCTGGTACACGGCGATGTTGAAGAGGTTCAGCGGGCCGCGGAAGTTGAACGTCAATTCCTCGTTGAAGGGGGCGAGATTGCCTTTTGATCCCGATGTGTGACGCAAGGACACAAAAATCCGATCAGGAAGTGGATGGCAACGGACGTCGGAGGCACGGATTCCGGGCCAAGCGTCCAGCACAGCATCGTCAATCACAAACCACATCGTTAGGAACAGAAGCAAGCAGCAACGGATATCATTTGATGACGCACCGCTGACGGACTTGGGGGCAGTGATGCAAGACGGGTTTGCATCACAGTTGGGGAAGTTGCCTGGGATCATGTTCGTGACTTGATTGTACGAGCCTGACCCGCCCACGGAGGTGTACTTCAGGCCAGTGAGCGAGCCTGACGTAGACGAAGGCGTGACGATATCCTGCGCAAGCGCAGCGTACACAAAGGACGAGAGGGCGGCGAAAGTAGCGGAGAGACGCATGATGGTAACTAGTCGTCGTGTCGTGTCAGAAGTGGGTATGCTCGGGGCGTATGAGGGTATCGGCTGCAGACTCAGGAGAAGCGGTCGAAACTCTTGTGTGGCCTACCAGAGGACAGGGAATTATAGGAGGGGGTGGACCAGCCTGTCCCTTCAGTGTACAGGCATCCTTTTGTACGCTGGACTCTGGCTGAACCAGTGAGCCTTGTTGATGGACGCAGTCTAAACGATCGGCCTGGATACGGCCGCATGCGTTGTTAGCAACTGCGACCCGCTAAGTCGCTCCGGTCCGGATGCGATTCACGCGCCTCCCAGGGCGGGACTAGCAAGCGGAAGGCGCGACTCCCAGTCGAGACACACCTGGCGTCATAGGCAATGTGCTCGCCTGTACAGCACGAACACATAGTGTATTGATCACACGTACCACAATCCACACATAATCATGAGTCCGTTGCCGGCCCAGAGTCCTTCCCTTCTGCAGCACTCGTTGCCTGCGCTGTCGTCCCCTTCGCCTCCTCCTCGGCCTTCTCCTTGGCAGCGGCGTTCTCCTCAGCCTCAACGCGCTCCTTATCTCGCGCCTCCCACTCCCTCAAGCGTGCCTCATACCATTCCCAAACAGCCCGTCCCACGATCTCACCACCGAAGTCGCCGTCGTCCTCCAACGCACTCGGCTCCTCGCCCTTCTTCTCATCTGTGCCTGGTGCAGGCGCAGGCGGACGTGGCACCTCCAACCGAACGATGGCGCATTCCCGATATAAAGCACCAGGCTTGAGGACTTCCACGGGGCCTATTCTTCTCGGCTCGGCAGGCTCTGACGACGTTTCTGGGGTGTTGCCCAGCGCTGCCTCAGCCTTACGTGCCTCTTCGTCGGCAGCTGCGTCGACTTTGGCCTGGGCGCGTTTCAGCGGTGTTGGCAGGAAGAGGACGTGAAGGACTGTCTGGAGCGCGGAGGTCGAGGACTTGGTGAACAACAGGAGGAAAGGTAGTAGCACGATGTATGCGAGCGACCAACCCCTCTCAGTTGTTCCCAGGAAGGGGGCGACCGTGTCTCGCCGACTGACTCCTGGACATGCGGACACCGCGATGATGTTGGACGGATGAGGGGCGGGAGGCTTGTCGGACCTCGCATCAGCCGCTCGATTGGGGAGCGAGTCGAGGATGCGCTGAAGGTGACGGGTGACGATAATCGAGCGCAAGGCTCGGTGTCCCTCGGAGATGAGGATAGATTCCGGACGAATTGGAGAGCTGGGCGTCGATTCGAGGAAGGAGGGGAACGTCGGGAGAGCAGCGGCGTAGAATGGGTTCACCACGGAGACGATGCGGATATCGCGCTCGACGGGCGCGACCAGTAAAGCGGGCAACAGGAGCGTCACTAGTAAGAAAGACGCGAGCGACGCAGACTCTCGTTGCTCAGCCTCTCGCTGCTCCTTCTCGCGCCTTGCTTTGCCGCCAAAGAACCATACCCGGCCAATGCTGGGATACTCGTGAGCAAAGACAATGGCGTCGATGCGAGTATCGTTGCCGGTGAGGAAAGTAGTGGAGAAGTTGCGGATGGAGGTTGCCGAGGTTAGATCGCAATATTCGACGAAGATATTCTCGTTGTTGGTTGTAGAGCGGATGAGGGGTATTAACAGGGATGGTATGGGATGTGAGAGAGGGTAAGGAGAGAGCGCGATGATGTGTGCACCGCGTTTCGCAAGGGCAGTCAGTGTGACGATGCCTAGCGGGGTGAATGGTCCCTACAAGCTCTTGTCAGCTCCTAGGACTAGACACGAGGGGAGGTTATGCGAGGGATCGTATACGGCTACCGCTGGATGCGCACGTCTTCCTTGTTTTTAACAAAGCTTTACCGTGCGCGGCTGCTCCAGGCAACCATACGGTATGGGGCTCGTATGGATAGAAAGAGTGGTTGGCTCAAGTCAATGAACTGACGGGATGCCGGGTTGCGCACGTTACGACGTGGGGCGATCTTCGGTGACGTGCACATGTCCTCCAATCCTTCCGGACGCGTCCCGGCAATTTCAGGAAGTGGTGACAGGAAAGAGGAGCTCACCGTAAGGATGATGATTCGTGCATGTAAACAACGTTCACGGTTTGTTGCAGGCCCTTGCGTATACGCATAGATCACGACGAGGATTGCGGCAACGACAGCAGCATGCGGCCAGTATTTCGTTGGTAGAACTGTTGTGAGTGCGGTGTAGGCAGCTTGAAGGACCATCCGGTTACCGTCTCCGTCAAGAAGATGGTGGGGAGGAGGAGATGAGGAATAACAAGGTTGAAGCGGAGGAGGATAGAGGATTGGAGGACTTCGAGGAGGGCAGACGAGTCCGACAATGTCGGAGCGCCCTCTAAGACTACAGTGAAGTAAGAAAGTACTTACATATATTGTACATCACTCTCAAGTTGACCTCCACCACGACTCTATATGCTCCGCATTCCTGGTACACAGGAGAGCACGGATGGCACTAATTTAACGAGGGTCTTTTGACTGTGATCATCCTCATCCACAAGGTCGTTTTGCGTGAAAACCACTCAACGATGGGCTCCAGCTTCCTGAAGGACGATATCATGCCAAACTGACATCGCATATGCCTTTGTAATTATCTGTAGAACTTCAAGGACTAGAAACCCTGGATGCTGCCGCGCTCTGCTTGACACGCATGTACCTTCTGCCTTTGCGGACCAAGACTCGGGTGTCTGACTCCCGTGAACACGACCCACGCTGTGGACACGGGGCTTACAGTCATGCCGTCTCTCTCGTCCGTCCAGCAGTACGTTACATATTTCCCGGTACTTTCTCCGTCTCCGATATCGCTCTGCTGACTCATTCGAATCCCTGTCCAGGACGCCGAAAGAACATCAAGTTCGTACACAGCGGCCACGGCCGGCGACGTACGGCTACGCAATACCGAGTCCTACATGCCTCAGTATGATCTCGTCTCTGTCCGTCCAATGCTGACTCGCACTTACGACATTTCTCTTTCTCCTTGCGAGTCAAGCTGCGAGCGCAGGCATGCAGGAGCTATATAACCCAGCGTAAGACGCAGCGGCTACAACTCACTTTCCATCGACGTCTCGATACTACTTAACCTTCATGACGAAGTTCGTTTTGACCGGTGCCACTGGCCAGTTAGGCTCACGGGTGCTTCAGCACCTCTTGAAGCTCGTACCAGGTACGCCGCCGTCACACCTGCGCCATGCCCATGATCGCTAAAGCTAACGCCTGCTCGCAGCAACCGACATTATCGTCTCCCTCTACAACCCCTCCGGCGCAACCTCCACCATCAAGGAGTCAGGCGTCGAGATCCGCCGCGGAGACTACGCCGACCCCGCATCCCTCGGCGCCGCCTTCGCGGGAGCCGACAAGCTCCTGCTCGTCTCGCACCCAGCAATGGCGCACGAGCACCGTGTCGCGTACCACAAGAACGCCAT